ACAAGTGCTCAAAACTCTTTATTTAGAAATTCACGAATTTAGTTACAGAAACGATGGAACAGTCGAGCTTCCGCAAGCTTCTTCCCATCCTCCGTTGCACCTTGAGTGTTTTTCCCCAAATTATTCTCTATATTTGATATGTTTCACTATCGTACTTTCTACTATCGGAAGTACCTGGTTTTCGGCCTTTAAACAGTTTCATGATCTTAATAATTGAGGGTATGCGATGTCCAAGAAACCAGAGTCATTTTCATATCAACAAAATCATTCTAATCCAGCCAAAAATCGGTTTCGGAAACGGGCATCCAGAACGTCTTATGACTAATAGCGTGTTTGGATTTCAATCTTCATCTTCTTCGATTGAAAAGTCTTCCGCAAACGAATTTCAATGCCTTGCGTCGGCCATCTCCATCATCAACCATCACTTTCTCCGCCACTGCAACATCCTCTCTCTCTATCATGAAATTAACGATTCTCCCCAACTTGCCATTGAATTGAAATATACTCCTCTGATTCTATTTACAGGAGAGAGAGAGTTTTTTTTGTGTCTTATTTATAAGTCACTTCATTAAATTTTCAGCGTAAATATACTATTTTGTCTTTCATTTATTGTAATATAAGTAGTTATCTTTTTTGAAAGATGTATATATTAAATATGTATAAAGTTGAAAAAGTGTTATATTTTATCTGAGAGCTAATGCATTTTAAATTTTTTTTTGTTTTGTATGAAATATGTTGGAAGTGTCTTATAAATATAATCAAGTATTAAATAAGAAGTCCACAAACTATGAAGCTAACGCCTCATCTCCAACACCGCTGACACATCCTTCACCCTTACCATAAAGTCTATGGTCATGGCTTCCCATAAAATTTTCTTGCTCTTGTTTATTAGCTTCCTCTTTTCTCCATCAACTGAAGCACAACAGGTTACTTATCTTAACCACGATTGCTCTTCCAACAAAACCTTCGCTGTCAATAGTGCTTTTCAATTGGACCGAACCAAACTCCTCTCTTCCTTAGCTTCCGCCAACACCGACTTCAACAATGCCACCGCTGTTGGTGGCGGCGACACTGTCCACGGCCTATTCATGTGCCGGAGTGACGTCAATCTCTCTATGTGATACCAATGCGTGGTTAACGCGACCCAGTGATTATCATCTGAGTGCAGAGTTTCGAAGGAGGCAATCATCTATATTAAATTTGAATAGTTGAGATTTGATGAGTATTAATTATAGTATTTATCACGGTAATGTGTATTGAAACTAGTTTCAACTAGAATTGTTTTGTTTTCTATAGATCTCAGCGATGATTCAATTCAATTGTCAGTTCCATAGAAACAAGCTTTTTTATGGCATTGTCAAATCTGGAGCTTACCAATTGATTTGGAAGTAAAGAATCATGCTTTGAAATGAAGTGTGGTCGAGTGAATTCTTTTACTCTCGACGACAAGGCTATTATTTCTTTTTATTTTTTATTACTAAACACCAGTTGCTTAGTTTGATATCTACGTGATTGAAGTATTGGTCACATACAAAGATAGAGCCTTTGTTAACCTTGTGAAATTTATGTTATTTCAGCATGTTTTCCCTTAGTTATCATACTTTTTGGTGAATTAATGCATATTTAAAAGTATTTATGATAAGAAAATATGCGCAGTTGATACTTGAACTAAAATTATAGATTTATGATTAATTGTTAATATTTTGTCCCTAGTTCATCAACTTTAGCTTTCATAGTTTGTCCTGTTTTGTTAGATGATTGAAGTGTGCTAATGGATCCAATTGAAGCAAATGTTAATCCCCTTAGAGTGGATAGAGGGTGAGAGAGCCATGACCTCTTAATGGATGGCAGACAAAGGAAAAATGAGCCAAAAAAACAAACCAAGTCTGAAATAATGAAATTGTTATTGCAAGCATATTTTAAAAATAAAGCCACGCTTGTTATGCAATAAGAGAAAAAATTCTGAACCTTCAATCTTCAATTAGAGAAAGACAAAAGTTGAATTCTCTTGTGATCTAGCAGGGAGATATTATATCCTCCGACATTTCATTGATGGAATCTTGATTGTGGTTGGCAAGTTGAGCCTCCACTGACCTACTGGTTTCTTCTAGCTCCATTTGACTATGGATGAAGAATGCTGGTTCTTGAGGAATTGGCAATTGAATTGAATCATTACTCAGATATTGAACAACTTTGTTCATGGAAGGCCTAACTCCTGGATTTCCTTGAACACACAACAAGCCAATATGGATGCATTTGATTATTTCACCATGTGATCTATCTTCTGTCAGATTTGAATCCAATATCGCTATCAAATTGTCATCCCTCCAATGCTTCCAAGCCTGCCATTATGTTAAATCATTAGTTTAAAATAGGACCATGCTACTGATTTGATTATAGATTTTTGTTAACATAAGCTCTAATGGTTGGTTGATGCTTATGATGACAACAACAATGACCGGTTTATTGAGGTGATCATTTGAGAAACACTAAAGGTTTACTATATACTTACATCACTTAAGAGTCCACCAGCATATTGAGATTCATGTGATTCACATTGAGAAGATATATTCTTTCCACTTATAATTTCTAAAACAATGACTCCAAAGCTGTAAATATCTGATTTCTCAGAAAATAGTCCAAACTTCATATATTCTGGAGACATGTAACCCCTACAAAAACAAAAAACAAAAAACAAATCACACATAAATATATCAATGTTGGAATTTTAGCACCACATAATTTGAGCAAAGTCTTGCATCTATTTAGATTCAATAGAAAATTAAAGTGCACATAAGCGCACACATATACATATAGAGAAAGAGAGACAAGGTCATTGAGATAGAGAACTTACAATGTTCCAACAATTCTATTCGTGTTTCCCCTAGTTTCATTAATGCCAACAATTCTTGCCATTCCAAAATCAGAAATTTTTGGATTCATCTCATCATCTAACAAAATATTGCTAGGTTTAAGATCTCGATGTATTATTTTAACGCGTGAATATTCATGGAGATAAAGAATTCCTCGAGTAATTCTTCCTATAATTTTGTGACGCTCTGCCCAGTTTAATACTCTTGACTTTTGTGAACCTATAAATAATTAAATTATTTTGTGAGCATACAATTGAACCATGATGTAAATATTTATGTCTAAAATCAAATTACAGATTATACAATAAATATATATTCACCTTAGAGTAATAAAAAGAATGGATCGTAGATAAATGGAAAATTGAAAAATGGTAAGAATAGTTTGATTAGAAGGGACAAACCAAATAAACAGTAATCGAGGCTCTTGGTTAGGAACATATTCATAGACAAGTATTTTCTCTTGATCTTTCAAGCAAAATCCTAATAATGCAACCAAGTTTCTGTGTTGAAGTTTGGCGATTAGTAAAACCTCATTCTTGAACTCTAATAAGCCCTGACTTGATTTTTCTGACAATCTCTTCATAGCTATTTTGCTACCATCGGGAAGAATGCCCTGAAATCATAATATAATTAGAGAATGAGGGGGTGACAATCTATTTTCATAATATAATAGACGGTCTCTTTACGTACAAACAACAATATAGATAAACAGACATGTTTAATCGCATAATCAAGTTACCATGTAGACTTCTCCAAATCCACCTTTGCCTATTCTATTTTCAAGTGAGAACTTATCTGTTGCAGCTTCAATTGTTGCCAAATTGAATTGCAATGACTCTAATGTGGCTCCTTCAGCTCCAACTATAAACATATGTACATTTTAAGGTAAGTACACTGCAAAAATATAGTTTTTCTCACAATTGACTGACTTGTCTTCCTCTCTTTCTTTTTCCGAGAAAAAAATAGCATACGTACAATTTTTCTTCAGAATCGCCTTATAATTGTTGCTCTTTTTTCTCTTCCAGTAATAGAAGCCGAAACAAGAAATCATGATTGAGACAACAGTAAGGGACACCGCTGTTATAATTGTTCGTGAGTGGTCGTGATCTTTTCCTGCGTAAATTAACACGTGTATTGGCATACCATAGACGAGAAATGGAGCAGATTTGTATGCAGAAACTTGAGAGCAAACTAAGAATGTCACTTTATATGTAGTGAACTATGTCTATGAGAAAAATGATTAATTAGATCCTCAGTTACTTTACCTGTATTTCCTGAAATATGAACTTCGGGAGTTGGGGGATATGCAGGAGGCAACGAAACAGCACTTTTATTGTCATAATAAAATCGGTACGATTCAAACCTCAAGTTGCAGCTAGGACTCATGACATTCCCTCCTCGCTTTCCAAGACAACATGACTTCATATGTTCCTCAGCATCCTGTAGACATTTTTGGCAATCTTGGCTGGACAGGTTTGGAGTACATTGTGCAAGAGTATACAGCGTTGTAAGCTCTGAAGTGCTGACTTCTTCTTTTGTTGCAAAATTCTTCGCTCCTACGGGCGCTGAGTTCGATATCGCCTTCACTAGATCATTCAATGTAGCAGCTAATAGCCGATTGAAGCCATTTGTTTGGTTTTCAAACATATCCGAACTAGCTTCTGTATATATAGGTTGTGTGTCTAGGGTAGAGAAGAAAGCGCGGTCGGAGTAGCGAAGCATGCACATGTCATACCAAATGATAGCCTCCTTGGAAGAGGGACACGTTGAGTGCAGTTCCTCAATTCCATCATCGACGCATTCATGGCAGAGCTCAAGGGGCACGTCCCCTCGACACATGAAGAGGCCGTAGACAGTAGTGTTGGAATTGTTTCCGACTGTGGTGCTGTGGAATCCATTGCTTGTGGTGTCGATGGATGACCTGAAGAGCTCGAGAGTGAGACTTTTGAGGTTGTTTAGGTAGGGATCGTTGACAGTAAAGCTTTCGGTGGTCGAGCAGTTCCAGTGTACAAGAGTAGGACTTCCAAGCCCTATCCAATGAAAGAAACAAAATGTTTATGACTATGTCATGGCCTTGACGTACTATTCATAAATACCCAATTAATGCTTCAACAAGTAAAGAAAACATCATTGTACTTTAATTATGAGTAAATTGTTTTCGGTGGTCGAGCAATTCCAGTCTGCAAGAGTAGGACTTCCGAGCCCTTTTCAATAAAAGAAACAAAATGTTTATGACTATGTCATGGCCTTGACGTACCATTCATAAATAACCAATTAATACTTTAATAAGTAATTGAAGTAAGGAAATATCATTGTACTTTAATTACGAGTAAACTGCTGTTTTCGTTTTTGAAAGGTGAACAATTTTTTTTTCTTTTTTAACTCTCACTTTAATTGGATAATTATTTCTAAAAAATTCAGTCACATCTTCAATTTAAAAATAGGAAAAGTTAACTAAAAAATAAATTGGCAAAGACGTATCTCCTTTGACTTTAATCCTTGAATTTTTTTTAGTGCAAATTAGTGACAACTATTAAAAGTTCGCATGTATGTAACCTTTAATTTGAAAGAACATACATAATCAATCCCAAGGAAAAAAAATTATAGAGGGCAATGGATTGTGCCACTTTTATGAAAAATAAAAAAATAATGGAAAGAATGTACTACTTTTGATCCTAATTATAAGACATTATCTGTAATTTACAAACGAGGTTTTGTAATTAAGACCGGAAGCAGTATTAAGGAATTAAAACATTAAATTTATAGCTTTGATGTCGAAGTACGAGGCTGAAAAAACGCGGGTCACAAAGGAAACATATGGAAAAGCTTTCCGGACTTTTAGTAGGCGGGACAAAAATATGAAGGAACTCTCACTGGATCCAATTTTCAATTGTTAATTTAATTTGAGAACTTTCCAAATAACCAACGGCACGGTATCACAATAACATCATCCAATCTCTTTAGAGAGAGAAGCTGTAAGTTCTATCCTGAAGGATGGATTTCGTTGGATATAATTGTCCCTTGAAAAACCAACTCTTTCAAAAAAGAAAAGAAAAGTATATACATCGAAATATTTTTAATTCTTAAACATATTTGAGAAACAATTAAAAATAAATAAACAAGAAATCAACTATATATATACATATCATGTTTTTGTTTTCTTATATATATATATTATACTAATCATTAATGAATATATAAAAATTAATTTATTTTACACTTTTACTTTATTGTGTTTTTTGAAATTTATGCAGAGTGACCAAATTTTGAATTATCTGCGCGTGGAGAGACGACTGATTGTATCAATAAATTATGAAGTATTACGCAGAAAGAAAAACATAACATGCATAAAAATTAAATCAGAGCAAAATCAAATATGTGGGAGTATTAATCCAGCGACGAGGGAAGTCTTTTCTTCTTCTCCATGGTTTTTGGCCGCTTATAAAAATAGCCGAATTATCAACTCGCGCAGTCGCGCGTAAGAAGAGGAAAGAAAAGGAAAGGGAAAAAAATCATGGTAACGTTACCTGGATAAGTGGAACCAATGGAGGGATGCTGGTTGCCCTTATAATAAAATTGGTATTTTTCGAGTCCCAAATAACAGCTCGGATTCTGCCATCGAACACCCACGCAGTCCTCGTCCTTCAGAATATCTTCTATCAGGCCATGTAGACACTCACCACAGAATTGTGGGGACAGATCCGGCGTGCACTCTGCAAGAGCGTATAGCGATTCCCCAGTACTCAAGTTTGCTTCTTTTGTTGTGAATTTCTTGGTACCTGTGGGCCCTGATGTCGCTGCCTCCACCACCGCATCATTCAATGTCTTGTTCGCTTCCTTGCATGTCTTATCTCTTCCATTTCCGATTTGGATGGATCCGTAGCATTCTCTAGCAGTATAGTCACGACACTCGATCGATAGCACGCTGTGAGCAGGCTGTTGTTGGAGGGTGGAGAAGAAAGAGCAGTCGGAATAGCGGAGGAAGCACTGCTCGTACCAGATGATTGCCTCTTTGTTGTAGGGACACATCGAGGCTATTCTATTTGTGGCGTCCTGAACGCAATCTCGACAGACCTGACTGGGAACATCACCTCGGCACATGTACTCTCCATATACGGCGTCGTTCATGCTTGTGCTGCCAACGCTGGTGTTGTAGAATTCAGGAGTGGTGTTAGTGCGGGTGGCCATGGAATAGAAGGAAATTAAAAGAGTGTTAAGGTTGAACTGGTAGGGGCTATTGGAAGTGAAGTTTTTATTCCTTGTGCAGTTGTGGTCATAGTAAGCAGGGATGTCTACTTCAGAAGTAGAAGCGAAATTCAAGAAGGTGAGAAGCAGAAAATAGGATAGCAGTTTCAGAAATGGCATATCCATCTTGTTCGTGAGTGCTCCTAATACACAGGTTAATGTTCAAGTAATCAAAGTGAAGCGAGCTCTCACGGAACGGAAATTAATTTGTATATGATTTCCATATCCCAGAGCAGAAAGCTTTGCCACGGCAAGTCTGTCCTTACCTTATGACACTTTAATTTGCGCCAATGACTGGATAAGAAGAATGATATTGTCCACAAAAACAAAGAGCAATAAGACGAAAGAGAACCATAACGCATCCATCTTTACAAATCAAGTAAAATTGATCGTCACAAATTTCTTCGTTATTGTAGGAGCGACCTCCTGTAACCTAAACAACAAACGCTTAAGCAATTGAAAAAAAAATTAATAAATTAAAATTAAAGATCAACGAGAGAGATGGAGCTAAGAACATATCCAAATATAAAATAATCAGATTTAAGCTACATATTATGGCAATAAAGCTAATAAGTAATAAAAACTCAAGGATTATAGATAAAGCCGTTGCCTTATCTCAGTCGACCACCAGTAATACACGCTCACCGTTAACAGTTATCAAGTCTATTCTTATGGTTTGCCACAAAATTTTCTTACTCTTCTTTATTAGTCTCCACTGACGCCACTTTTTCCCTCCACCAAATTCTTCAGATGCCCAAAGTAAATGAAGTTAAACTTATACCTTTCTGACTCCTTTTTGAAAACTATAAAAAATCATTAGACACATCCTTTTCTCGAATATATAAATTAACGTGCAGTTAAATCATTAATCAATATGTCAATCTCAATTTATATTATAAAAGCTATAATAAATCCACTATATTTTTATGTGATGAATAGTAAAATTCACCTCAAAATTTCACCTGATTATTTAAAAAACACGTTCAGTTTAATTTCAAATAAATAATTTTTTAAAATGTGTTATTCTGGTCATGTCATACCTTGGGTCCCCTGGGGAAGACTTTAGGAAACATTCTTATTTTCCACCACTAACGTGCCTTTTGGATCATCTTTCTGCCTCTATTAAAAGAAGATTCCTTCTTGATGGGGTGTATTTTTCAATTTCCAAAGATTCTATTTTCTCACAGATAATTTTTTTGGCCAAAATTTCCCAATGGATAATTGGAAAAGGCTACGGAGTAAACGAATGGAAAATTCGAAAGCAAAACGTTGACTTGCGTCGTTGTTCATCATCGTCAGTCAACCCCTTCCGTGCCATTGCAAGCGATGACGACCTTTATCCTTGTGCTGACCGGTGACCAGAAAGGTTCAGTCCAACTAAAGTGGGTTGGGTTTGGCCCATAACGGTAATTGACATGAAACCCCTGGGAAAAATCCGGGACCCTTATTTATTACTTTTGGTTTTAAATATAAAAATTAGTTAACAGTTTTAAATATAAAATCTCAATTTTTTTTATCTTTCAAATTTAGACATGAAATCATCATCAAGTCCTGATTTTGTATTTAATTTTTATTTTTCATAATAATGACACCGAAAGATATTTTCAAATTCAGGAGCCAATCATCTTTAATGAGGGATTTTGATTTTGGTTTTTGAAATTTTTTTTACTTTCTCCTTTTTTTAAAGATTCCACTCTATATTTTCTAATTTGGAGGTTAATTGGCTTTTAATTCATACCTTTCATTTTATTATCATTTATTGTAAGAAATTTTTTTTTTATTTGCCACATGTGGCTTTTTAAACTTGGCGTCCAAGAAAGAATCAAAAATTTTTTTTTTACTATTTTTTATTTTTATTTTTGTTTTTGTTTTTGTTTTTTAATTGACCTGGACAAAATAAAGTGTTTACATGTGATTACAGGGGTAGGAACCCGGCTTTCACGGAAGGGGAAGTTCCCGTATGATTTTCATTTTCCAACGTAGAAAGCTTTGTCATGCAGGGGAAGACTTTTCTGTACGTGTGTGAATTTCCAATCCATGAGAAGAATGATATTGTCCACTAAAATAAAGAGCAATTAGCTAGACGGATCATAATCACAATGCACCATCATTTTTAGGACATGCACTCTCAGAGCGCCCCCCCCCCAAAAAAAAGGAAAAAAGAGGGAAAAATATCCATCACAAACCGAATAAAATTAAGAGGCAAATTTAAAACAATCAATTTCTTATCATACACGTGTTTTGGAGAGAGAATTTCATTCGAAGACTACTGTAGGGAGAAATTTTCAGTAAAGAATAACAATTTTGAAATACATCTCTGCAGTATCAAGGGGTTAAATCGAACTTAAGTTTTGTTGATTAATTATCAAAATTCCCTTGACCTTTTTTTTTTTTATGTTCTTTAAAACTGGAAGTATGTTTTTTTTTTCCCCCGGCGAACTGATCATGTGACATTTTCAAAATCGTATATTTCTTAGAATAACCTTTTCTTTTATATTTGCTCATCTCAATTTCATGGACCAGCAAGTCGATCATGTCACGATTGTCACGGTCGTGCGGGAAGACTTTAGAAAGCCTTCTTTTATTTTCCACAACTAACTTTCAATTTTCCGCCATCTCACTTTTAGCTCACGTTCTCACTGGTGTCTCCACGCATTGCACATTTTTCAATCATTGCCAGTCACCACGTGATATTTCAGACCGTTTAGATGAGTGCTCAGAGCTAATTCTAGACCGTTCAGATGAGTTAAAAAATAGAAGGACTAAATTTTTTTATATTAAAAAAGTGATATTTCAGTTATTCCTAATTTTTATTAAAAAAAATTGTAGGAGGGAATGTAAGAGGTTCAATTTTAATTAAGGGTAATTTAATGTTTCAAATTTATATTTTCATTTTTGATCTTTTTAAATAATTATAATTTTTATTATCTTCTCTCATAAAAATCATTCTCTTTCATTCTAATTTCTCCTTTATTCTTCAACTGAAAAATTGAAAAATTTACCAGAAACCGTTGGAACATTTAAGGAAGCAAATGTTTAACTCTCTAAAACTCAGAGTACATGATGCTCCTCTGGTGATGTTTATAGGGTAAAAAAGTTTCTTTCCTCAATAGAAGCACACTACTAAATTTATTATATGAATGTATAGTTTTATCTCTAATTTATATTTTTTAAAGAATAATTAATGAGGTTGGTGATTTTTTCCAATGAAAAATATTGAAAATACCTGATAAATATAATTAAATGAGTTTGTTCCTATTTTACTCTTTTATACAATCAATGACCCAACTTCCGTTTAACGTGGTTAATTTTTAGTACGGGTAGATTTGGAAAGCATTATAATAATACTTTTATATCCTTTAAATGAAGCAATTGCCTTTTTTGCCCTTTTCGCTATGTGCATGTCGAAATCTGGACCGTATTGCAGACTGAAGTAGTAAAGTAAATGTGAGACAAGAAAGTAAAATGCCTTCTTAGAGTTATTTTAAATGAGGAAAAGTAAATCAACATTACAGGCCATCAAGCAATGCGTAAAGAAAAAAAATCTCAAAAAAATACCTCTTAAATTTTAAAATTTTAAATTAATCTTATTTATTATATTTTAATAGAAATTGACTACATTTGAAACGTAAGGCACAATACATTTTTGTAATAATTACTGATTTGATATTTTAAAATTTAAAAAGTATTTTTTAAAGATTTTTCCTATATAATTTGAAACACAAAAACGGGACGGAGTTTGGAAAAACAGGGGATCCACAAATCGGGATTTTGATCAGCTAATAAAATTTGAGGGAAAGTTTCAACTCCCAGCCAGTGTAACTCAGTAACTCCTAAATTTTGTTTTTGAACAAAATTGTGAAACTTCACGTCCCAACACATCTTGATTTTGATTAGTAAATCTGAATGGCCTGGGAAGTTAAAAAAAATTTTCGGAGAGACTTCTAAATTTTTAACTTGAACGAAATCGAACGTTTTTTTTTTTGTACTAATAAAATTCCTGTATGGTTCGCAACCGTCAATGCGGCATCACATTACATCAAAGAACTGCTGTAGGTTATGCCAATTTGGTTGTTATGCATTTGTCTGTTTCACGAGTCATCGTTGCGTCAGTATGGGTAGTCTTCTACTTCCTTTCCTATCTTTAATATAAAACCTCATTTGATTTTTATTTTGGTCTTAAATATAAAACTCCAATCCACTTTGTCTATCATGTTTATGTACTACCTCCGGTCCTTAATATAATACCCTATTTGACTTTTTGTTTGGTCCTAATTATAAGACCCCAATCCATTTTGTCTCTCATATTTATGTATTTTTTTTCAAGACAGTCCTTCTAATAATGATAATTCTAACCAATACACTTAATTAGCAAGGATATTTTAGGAATGACAACACTTATTTATTACAAATAACTAACTTAACTTGCTTCCTTAATCTCCTCAAATAAGTCAACTGGATCTTATAATTAGGACCGGAGGTAGGTAGTATTTTTTCCAAGGTAGTCCTTCTAACAATAGTAGTTTTAGCTAATACACTCGATTATCAAGGATATTTTAGGAAATACAACACATATTTACTACAAATAACTAATTTAACTTATTTTCTTAATCTCTTTAAATTAATGAACTAGCTTTTATAGTCAGAACAAGAGGTATTATTTTGAAGGAATTGATCAATCGTCAATATTATTCACACAAAAATTACCAAAAAGAACATTATTCGAAAATAAAACACGAAGCGTAGGGCATATCAATAAACAGTACTAGCATGTTGTGATTAGGAAGAAAAGATATTAGAGGCATTGGATTCAAGTCTAAATGAATCTGAATCGTTGAGTGAAGTGAACAAGTTCATCCAAATTGGGTTGTTATGCGTACAAGAAAATCCAGAGGTAATGCCTTGTATGGCTACAGTTGTTTCATATCTTAGCAATGATTCAATTCAATTGCCATTTCCACAAGAACCTGCTTTTTTTCTGGAGGGCCAAATGGAGCTTAATACCGACACGAAAGAATCTATTAATGAAATGTCTATAAGTGAATTCTATCCTCGGTAGTACAAGGCTTTTATTGCAACTTGTCCTTGGCCACCGAGGCTCAGTTTGGCACCCAGTCAATTAGAGAAGAAGTATTTTTATGTTACTGCACCAAAATGATCCTTAAATATAAGGAGCAAGGGTTAAATTAGCTGGAGCGAGAAAATGCAGATCTCCTTTGTTCGATGGCTGTGGCGGAACTGAGATGTTATAAGAAACATCATACATCATCTTAAATATATCAGTAATGGAAAATATAGTATTGCATAATACTAATGTCAAGATTACCATATATGTTGAATCTCCTCATAATCCTGCCTCAGATGCACGCAGAAGATTATTTTAATTTTGAACCATGTTATATAAGCTAATTAATAATGGAAGGGAGATGATTATAACAGCAAGTTTTGCTTTGTTACAGCCCTGTGATCGATAGAGGGATGAAAAATTGTTAGAGATATTGGGTTCAAGGGTAAATAATGAATTCAGATCATGTAATGAAGTGATTTAAGTGCATCCATTCGCATCAGGGTTGTTTTTTATTCAATATAAGATCCAAATGCAAAGCCTTTGCGCACGGCTGCAATTGTTTTACCTATATATATATATATATATATATTCCAGCAATGATTCAATTCAGTTTTCACTTCCAGAGAAGCATGCTTTTTGGGGCATTGTGGAATATACGGGGCTCACCAATTGATTTGGAAGACGAATCATGCTCTGGAATGAGGTGTCGTTGAGTGAATTTTATTCTCACTAGGACAAGGCTTTTATTTCTTCTTTTTCTTAAACACCGATGCTCTGGTTGGTATCCACAAGACTGAGGTATTGCATAAATATAAAGATAGAGCCTCTTATAATGGACGGAAGACGAAGAGGAAAGGGGCCAATAAAGACAAAACCGAATTTGAAATAATCAAATTGTTATTGCACACGTGTTTTAAAAATAAGATCATGCTTATGCAATGAGAAAATAAAGGCAAAAGTTGAAGGCTCCTATGATATATCTAGCGAGGAGACATTATACTCTCCGACATTTCGTTGATGGAATATTGACTATGGTTGCCAAGTAGAGCCTCCATTGCTCTACTGGTTGCCGCTGGTTCCATTTGACTACGGATGAAGAATGCTGGTTCTTGAGGAACTGGCAATTGCATTGAATCATTACTCAGATATTGAACAACTTTATTCATGGAAGGCCTTGCTCCTGGATTTCTCTGGACACACAACAAGCTGATATGGACGCATTTGATTATTTCACCATGTGACCCAGCTTCTGTTAGATTCGAATCCAATATCTCTATCAATCTTTCATCCCTCCAATGCTTCCAAGCATACCACGTTCATTTAAATAGGGCTCTGCTACTAATTTGATTATAGAATATTGTTATCATAGGCTCCAATTATAATAATGACAGTTATGACAGGGTTGATCGTTTAAGAAATATTAAAAGTTTACTATGCTTACATCCCTTAAAAGTCTGCCAGTGTATTGAGATTCTCATGAGATTCACATTGAGAATGTATATTCCTTTCACTTATAATTTTTAAAACAATGACTTCAAAACTGTAAACATATGATTTCTTAGAAAATAGTCCAAACTTGATGTATTCTGAAGACATGTGGCCCCTACAATAGATATATAAAATCACACATAAATATGTCAATATATGATGGAATCTTAGAACCAAGTAATTTGAATTGAACTATATGCTGATGCTGTACCAATATTTAAATGCTCCCACGATTTGACGAGCGGAGATTGCCGGAGATGTCTGGGGGATATGATGGCGGATATTCCATCCGTTGTGTTGCCTTGGGAGAGACGGCGAAATGGTTCTGTATCCACGCTGCAGTCTCATGTTTGGGTTGCGACTCTTTTACAGAGAGGTTGAGGTTGTTCACGCGCGTTCGCCTGAGCGTGTCTCACATGATTCTGTTCCTGTTGATGGCGGTAAAGAGGGCTCAGCGCCAGAAGGTAAAGTTCTCTTCTAAATGGCTAATTATTCATTTTATACGTCGCCGATTTTCAGGGGGGAAAAAATTTATACGTCACCGATTTTGAGATATATGTTACTACTAGTTTTTAATTTTTTGACCAGCACTACTGGTTTTTAATGAAACCTTAATGTGGGTCAAGTTCACAATTTTGTCACATGCCCAACGAATGAAGGCTGTCTGGCTCAAATGACTTTATGATAGGCCTTATTTTTGTGGGCCAACTTCGTCCATTTTGATGGCATTAGAATGCAAATAAATTATTTTTTAGATAATAAAAAATAAATTATTTCATTGTACCTTAAGAGAAAAATTGGTGGAAAAAAGACAACATTCACCTATTACTACCTCCTCTACTCTTTAATACAAAAGTTCGTTTGACATTTATTTTTATTCTAAATATATGACCTCAACCTATTTTGTCTTTTAATTTATCTAACTTTTCTCAAGGTAGTTCTTATAATAATGGTAATTCTAGTCAATACATTTAATTAGCAAGGATATTTTAGGAAAGACAACTCATATTTATTACAAATAACTAGCTTAACTAATTTTCTTAATCTATTTAAATTAATCAACTAGCTCGATCGGAAATAGTATTATCAATGTTATAGCAAATATTTTGTTGCACAGGAGGCAAAAAAGTCAGGTCACGGATCATTATCGCGGTGGTCATCCCAGTCGTTATTACAGTCCTGCTGTCCTATTTCGTCATCTATTTGCTACGAATGAAGGCAAGGAGGTGATATGCCATTCTCAAAGAAAACTGTACGTTTTGTGAAACAGAAAATAGAAAATCAAACCAACCATGCTCTCCCTATATATATATATATATATATTATGCCTAGAATGGATATGCTTCTTTGAAAAGTACATATATAAACTGAATGTACTACCCTGGAGTTACTGCAATTCGATTTCGCTACAATTGAAGCTGCAACAAACAGGTCTTCAGTTCAGAACAGGATAGGTCAAGGAGGATTTGGAGAAGTTTACAAGGTGAGAAATTATTTTATGTCCATAATGCAAGTGTTAACATCTTTTCAACAGTTATATATCTATAGTACCCAATACTAATGACTAATCCATATTTGATTATAGTTGCAAATGCTAATTTTCACTTATGCATGGTCTTAGGGTACTCTTTCTAATGGACAGAAAATTGCTGTGAAGAGACTCTTCACGAGCTCTGAGCAAGGCACCCTGGAATTTAAGAATGAGATTTTACTAATAGCTAAACTTCAACATAGAAATCTAGTGACATTGTTGGGATTTTGGTTATAAGAGCATGAGAAGATACTTGTTTACGAATTTGCACCCAATAAAAGCCTCGACTACTTTCTCTTTGGATTGGCATTTACGTCTGCTCTCAAGTTTTATTTATTTTTATTTTTCACCGACACATTTACTGTTGAAGTCTAACACCTTTATCTTGTTATTATTGATATATATTTACAGATTCTCAAGATCAACTCTTGTTAAATTTGTCCAAGTGCTTTAAAATCATTGAAGGCATTGTTCGAGCAATTCTTTATCTTCATGAGCATTCACATCTTAAAATTATACATCATGATCTTAAGCCTAGCAATATTTTATTAGATGAAAACATGAATCCAAAGCTTTCTGATTTTGGAATGGCAAGAATGGTGATGATAGATCAAGAACAAGAAAGAACAAGGAGGATAGTTGGGACATAGTGAGTTAGTGAATGCTGAATCCCTTACCCCACTTCATTACTTTGTTCTTCTATTTGTTCCGACATGTAAAATGTTGTTTCTCATTGGCTTATATTGGCCGGATATTTTTCTTTTCTGCGGCGGCCTCCTGAGTATGTAAATTTCAGAAAAACTGGATATCTTTAGTTTTGGAGTTATAATGTTGGAGATTATAGGTGGGCGGAAAAATTATTGTTCTTATGAATTACCCAGCATTAATGACCTCTTAACTTACGTTAGTTGTTACTTGCTATGACTTGTAACTTTGAAACATATCACTTGATGAATTGTACGTATTCATTTTTGTCAAATTTCAATAGATAAATGTTGATATAAATAAGCTGAAGCAGTGTGATGCCATCGTGCCTCAATAATTATATCATCGCCTGATGCATAGAAAGTTATAAGAAGAAACGGCAAATATCAATTGACATATGTGTACTGTGAAAATTTTGCAGGCTTGGAACCAGTGGAGGGGAGGTGAGACGCCATTAGAAATGATGGATCCGAAGTTGAAAGAATGTTGTTGTGAAACAGAAGTGATAAAGTGCATCCAGATTGGATTATTGTGTGTGCTCAAGAGAAAGCAGAGGATACGCCTCCCATGTCAAGAGTTGTTCCATATTTAAGTAATCTTTGTGTGGAATTACCATTTCCTCGCAAACCCGCATTTTATGTCCATGGTAGGATGGACCCAAATTCGGGTCATCATTCTGCTTCTGCCAACAATTCCATTCCATCTTCTGTCAATGAAATATCTATGACACCATCTTTTCCTCGTTAGCATATATGAAGCCTTATACTTCGGAATCATTGTCAAATTTCCTTCTTACTCCCTTTTTTGGCCAAAAAGACAGAATATTCTGGGTCGATCTTCAAGTTTTGGATCGCAAAAGGATATGAACTTTTAAAAAAAAAAGCACTAATTAATGACGTAGATGTTATCTGTTTGTGAATATATATTCTTGCTGTACATTTTACTTTATTATTTAAATGCTAAAATTAATGTATAATTATTACAGTATTTTCATATGTTCTTTTTTAAACTGTGTCTTTTCCCCCACCAAAACAAAAAAGTAGTTATGGCCTTATGGGAAATGGTAATCCTGATTCCTAACAAAAATAAAATGACTTAGATCTTAAAGGAGGTTTAAGCAACTTTGGGTCCCCAAGAATTTATGTCTTGTTGATAAAGCCCAACTATATAGAACCACAAGAATGAGCCCGTTTTGAAAAACCCTACGGCCCAGCCTGGAAACCTACAACATTAGAAAGAGAGGAACCATTATGGCTTTAGCGATGCCTATCACATTATGACAGCATCATCACTATTACGCACCAGCCTAATAATCTCAATATTATGACTGCACATATCATTATCTGTTATTGAAAACAACACCTTCATTTAATTTTTTTTGGAAAAAAAATGAGGATGGACTATAATTTCATGTTACATTATTTCAATTTTTAGAGCATTCTTCTCGAAAGAATTTTTAAGTCAACTGCGGTCTATGTACGCTTTAATAATGTCGTGTAGATGACGAGTCTTGGAGTCTTCTCTTCGGATGATACCTTAGGATGTGTCACTAACTACTCCTCCGATCCTAATTATAAGACCCAATTGACTTATTTAAAGAAATATAATTACGGAAGTAAGTTAAGTTGGTTATTTATAATAAATAAGTGTTGTCATTCCTAAAATATTCTTGCTAATTAAGTATATTGGCTAAAACTATCATTATTAGAAGGATTATCTTGAAAAAAAATACATAAATATAAGAGACAAAATGGATTGGGGTCTTATAATTAGGACCAAATAAAAAGTCACATAGGGTCTTATAATAAGAACCGGAGGAGTAATTAATATTGCTCATTATATATGTCATTGAAAACAACATTTTTCATTTTAATTTTATTTCTCAAAATGAAAAACTTGAGGATGGACCATCGGATCAAGTTGGATAGGCTTTGGAGCATTCGCGGAAGACTTTTAAGGTCAATTGCGGTGTATCTACGCTTTAATTAATGAATTCATGCAGATAACAAATTTTGGAGCCTTCTTTTTGGATAACACCTAATTAGGATGTGCCATTAACTAATATTCAAAACAACATTTTCTTTTAGTTTCCCAAAATAAAAAAAATTAACGATGGACTATATAATTCCGCACTAGCTATATTATTTCATTTGCTGGTCAAGCTGAATTGGCTTTGGAGCATTCTCAAAAGATTTTTGAGGTCAACTGCTGTGTATGTACGCTTTAATTAAGAAAGTTGTGTGATAAATAGTTGGGAAAATAAGAATTTTTCTACATTTTAAAAATTATCAGATGAAAATGAACACATATTAATGTAACTATTTCAATATTATGAATGAATATTGGGTATTATGTTTGGAAAGTCAACCAAAAAAAGAGGCTATCATTAAAAGATAGAGAATAGAATGAATTACATCTTTATAATATGAATTAATTAAACACGTACGAAGACAATATCAATTTGTAATAAATCATTAATGAAATGGTAAAAACTGGGTATGATAGGATGGTTTTCTTGTTTTTTTCTATGACATAATATAATATAATGTATAAACAGTTAAAGGAAAAATAACTAGGTGAAAAATATCGCTTTTGGTTTATTACGAGTGTCTGTTGAAATAAAAGTTTTGAATGGAAACATTTTATTTAGTCAAAAAAGAATAGAAACATTTAAAATCAATTAATAAATTGTGGGGGATTGTAAAGCATTACGATTTATGATGTCTAGGTATCTTGTTGGCATCATCGTTAAAATAAAGCGATGGATATTTTAAGAATAAAATACATATATTTTCCTCTTATTTTGTTTTAATTATAGAAAATTTTTCACATAAAAGAATATTAAAAATTTAATAATTTATTTAATTTGCATGATTATTTTTAGTAAGCATGGCATGCCGAAAATATCTAACAAATTTCATAATTATCAGTTTTTCACGACTGTCGCATTTTTCTTCGGTCTCCCTATCTCAATTAATAGCCTGTTCACGTCGTGAAGTCATTGTATGACTTACTATGATGTGCAAGGACTTATTCGGCAGAAACTGGGAAATTTGGTTAAAAGTGTTAAATAGCTCAGACATTTAAGAAAAGGACATGGTGACTTGCTAAATATGAAAAAAAAAATTGTAAAATTATACAAAAATTGCAGATTCTAAATTTAGTCTTCTTTTTTAATTCTGGCTTGCAGTGTAATTTCACAATTCTTTATGTTAGATTTGTATTAACTTTCTTGAGAAGTCCTATAATAAAATCCATCCCTATAAATCTATAATATCATTTGGATCGGCAGAATGACACGAGCAAGTGATGTTGCTGGTTCAAAAAAAAAAAAAAAAAGATGTTGGCGGTATTTTATTGATCTTTGGGAGTATTAATTAAAAAATTTCTCTTTGTGTGCTTGGCTGAAATTGATAGATATAGATGATCTTTCTTGATCTCAAGTTAAAACACAAACTGTAGAAAATTTTGGAACACTCATTTTTCCTACCGAGATGATGGAAAAAATCCTGACAAGCTTGACTTGACCATTGAGTTGGGTCAACCTTGCCTGTATCATCGTCGGTTAAACTGATCCCCTTTCGCTGCCATTACGATGCCCCCGTTCCTCCGGCGGCCCACTTGCCATCAAAATTTACTTCATCACAAAATTTAACTCAAACTAGAAAGCATTATCCTCATCTCAAACGCCATCAATAACATACCCTTCACCCCTAATTGCCATGACCTTCAACATTATAATTTTGTCACTCTTCTTCTTCATCGGCTTCCTCCTCAATTCTTCTTCTGCTCAATTCATAGGTCGTAATGAGTTTTACGCTCACTGCTCCACCCGCAGTAATTTCACTGCCAATAGTACCTTCGACTCTAACCTCCAAACTCTATTTTCTTCCTTCACTTCCAACAAAACCGCCAACCTCGACTTCTACAACACCACCGTTGGCCACGGCAGCGAGACCATATACGGCCTCTTCATGTGCCGGGGTGACGTCAACCAAGACATATGCCGCCAGTGCGTAGCTGACTCAACCCTAGATATAGGTTCCGTATGCCGATTTTCGAAGGAGGCCGTAGACTGGCGCCATCCGTGCTTGGTTCGCTATTCCGATCGCAACTTCTTCTCCACCGTCACTACAATGCCTACACTCCGATTGTTGAACCCTGCCAATTTCTCGAATCAGGCAGGATTCATGAACGTATTGACGTTTATTATGAACCAGTCGGCGGATGAGGCTTCCAAGTCTGCTGAGATGAAGAAGTTTAAGACGAATGCGGTGGCGGTACAGTTTCAAACTCTGTACGTTCTGGTTCAGTGCACGCCTGACCTTTCGTCGGCCGATTGCAGAAGGTGTCTGAGCGGAGTGATTGGGCACTTTAGATGGTGTTGTGATGGGAAGATCGGAGGAAAAGTGCTATATCCAAGCTGCCTCGCTCATTATGAGTTGTATCCGTTCTTTAATTCTTCAACGCCTCTTCTGCCAGTAACGCTGCCGCCTCCTCCGGCTCTACTTTCTCCTCCAAATCCTGGTAAGCTTCATAATTATATGCTTTGCTGATTTCTTTTTTCTAATTAAGTAAATTACAGTAAATCTATTCATGAAAATATTAATTATATATGCTGATTTTGGGACCAAAATAGTTACTCTTCCGGTCCTTAATATATGACCCAATTCTTGAGTTGGTCTTGGTTCTAAATATAATACCCATTTATCATATTTATCAATTTTCTCTAAATTACCCCTATAGATACTCCCTCAACCATAATCAAATAAAAGAAGGGAGGGGGTATTAAAAAAGATGATTATGGTATTTTAGGAAAAATGTGTCACTTTTCTTATTATTAACTAACTTACCTAACTTCCTTAATCTAATCAAATTAGTTAAATAGGTCTTATATTAAAGATTAGAGGAGTATTTTAAAACAGGACATTAAAGCAGAGCAACCGTGAGTCCGCATTAGATGCTCATCGAATCCATGAGCTCCTGGCGCTGAGTGGTCAAACGGTGTCGCATCATCGACACAGTGAAACGCTGAAGGGATTTGGATTTCCCTCTCCATCCGCGAGAAAATTGATGCCCCTACCTTTTCTTTTCTTTTCTTTTTCAAGCCACTCACTTTTTTCATTTAAAAATCTTTATGATTAAATAATTCAAACATAGCAATTATTTTTTAAAATTAACACATATATACTACGTGTACTATAAAATTATATTTAGATTAAAATTAAACCTTTTACAATATCTTACAAAAAATATTTATTTATCTCAGGCAGGGCCAAACGAGCAGGACAGGGTACCCCGTCCGCGGTCCAACCCTGCCCGTTATCAGCCCTGTCCAAAAAGTATCCTTTTTTTTGTTTCAATTTTCGGGTTGGGCTGGACTTTTTTTTTTTCTGAGCTCGGGCGGGCGCACTAGGCGAATGGCTTCATGAACACCCCTATTTCCTCCCTCCTATCCAGTTTTCATTTCAATCATAAGATTGATTAAAATTTAAACAGTTCAAATTTCATATTTTATAAAATTATTAATAAACTATTATTTTTTTAAAAATACATATATAAAGTTAAAATACTAAATTTTAGTCATGATAACTTAAAATATTTAATGAAATTATTTTATGAAATATAACATATAGATCATTTTAATTTTAATTTGAAGAGTTGAGATGGGATGGAGGTGGACGGAAATCCACTCCCCATCTTACAGGATATAGTCATCTGTTATATGACGTCATTACATTGAGACGTGGGAGTCGATGTTTACCGTGCAGGAAAAGCGAAAGGTCAGTCAACAAGGACTATTGTGATAGTTGTGGTTGCTTCTGTTGGTGTTTTGGGGATATTTATTCGTCTCGCCTGCTATCTCTTAAATAGTCTAATAAAGAAGAGACGCAACGCCGTTCTCAGACAAAAATACTGTGAGTAATTTTCATTCTCAGACAAATTTTAACTAATTCATATGATTTGGCTTGTCCAACTTGTTGTGGCGATGCTTTTATTAGCTTTAGTGTATCCTTTAATATTTTGTATTTGTGTAGTTGGAAATGAAAGCAACAACTTAGAACCTTTGCAATTTAGTTTGGTCACTATTGAAGCTGCAACAAATAATTTTTCAGATGAGAAGTGTTTATTAGGACGAGGTGGATTTGGAAGAGTTTACAAGGTACTACCTCCGGTCCTTAATATAAGACTCTGTTTGACTTTTATTTTGGTCCTAACTATAAGACCTCAATCCACTTTGTCTCTCATATTTATTTAATTTTTTTCCAAGATAATCCTTCTAATAATTATAGTTCTAGTTAATACATTTGATTAGCAAGGATATTTTAGGAAAGATAACACCTATTTAGGACAAATAACTAACTCAACTTACTTCTTTAATCTCCTCAAATTGGTCAGTTAGTTCTTATAATTAGGACCGAAGGTAGTAACATCAATATAAATGTTAATAGAGACAGGCAAACACATGCATGCGTGTTTCTTAATTTTTAATCCAATCATCTATGATTTCAGGGCATTCTTTCAAACGGCCAAGAAATAGCTGTCAAGAGACTTTCAAAATGTTCAGGTCAAGGCGCAGAAGAATTCAAGAACGAGATTTTATTAATTGCCAAACTCCAGCACAGAAATTTGGTAGCTTTGCTTGGATATTGCATAGAAGAACAAGAGAAAATTCTTATCTATGAATATGTTCCGAACAGAAGCCTTGATTACTTTCTATTTGGTTTGACTCTTCTCAACCCACTTTAGCTATTAATTGAAATTCATAGTACATATGTTACATGCAAGTTATTAATTATCTGTTTCATGCTATTTGGTGTATGTTAAGAGTTGTAATTGTCCATACCTAGATTATCTTTATTTTGTCTCTATAGTCACTTACAACAAATTTATGTACAGGTTCCACAGAAGGAAAAGTATTAAGTTGGATGGAGCGTTGTAAAATTATTGGAGGAGTAGCTCGAGGAATTCTTTATCTCCATGATTATTCCCGTCTTAAAATTATACATCGTGATTTAAAGCCAAGCAATATTTTATTAGATGATGAAATGAATCCAAAAATTTCTGATTTTGGATTGGCTAAAATGGTTGCCATCAACTCACAAGAGGGAAGTACAAATAGAATTGTTGGAACGTAGTAAGTTTTATGTTTCTCCTTTTAAAGCTTTGCAGCTATCTTGATATGGTTGAATGAAGAGAAATAAGTGTATCTAAGTTGACATCGAAAAGTCTACATCTCAACTATATAATGCCCCCATTACAATGTTCTTACTATTGATATTTTTCTTTTTCAGTAGTTATATGTCTCCAGAATATGCGATGTATGGACAATATTCTGAAAAATCAGATGTTTTTAGTTTTGGAGTTATAATTTTAGAAATCACTACTAGAAAGAAGAACACAAGCCGTCAAAATGAATCACAATATGTTGATGGCCTATTGAGCTATGTAAGTTATGATAATATGTTTCTCTCCTGTTGTTATTTCTCGTGCAATTACTTCAAGATTATTCAAGTTAGAGAAATAATTATTTTAACAATATTCTATAAGTTTATAAAAGGGTGTTAATTAGTGTTACTTAATTGCCATAGGCTTGGAAGCAATGGAAAGAGGAAAAGTTGCTGGAGATATTAGATTTAAATATAAAAGAATTTGCGTCATATAATGAAGTGATCAGATGCATTCATATTGGTTTGTTATGTGTTCAAGAAAATCCAGATTCAAGACCCACAATGGCAACGGTTGTTTCATATCTTAGTAATGATTCCATTCAACTGCCATTGCCACGGGAACCTGCATTCTTTCTGCACGATGGAATGAAGCCCAATACCAGTGGAAGTAAGGAATCAGGCTCCATTGTTGAAGTGTCTATGAGTGAATTCTATCCTCGTTAGTACAATGCTTTATTTATTCTATTTCTTGGACCCCCTGTAAGAGGCAAGCGTTCTTATTTAACTATACAAAAATCGAGATATACAATTATGCTGCACTCGTATTAATATTATTTGATCGTAATGATTTAAGGGACAGATGATATTTTCCAAGCATGACATTAGTTTTTGTAGTGTTATTCTATTGATTTTTTGTTCGGGTTTTACTCTATTCGACACAATAACAAAGATAATGGAATGTACCAATGATTCTTTGTTGAAGAATGTTTGGTAGACCTGAATTAAACTCTCTAGAGAATCAGATTTCAGCTAGAAGGCTTGAACCCAATTCCTCCTTGCCTACGATGGAATCAAGACCAAAATGTCCAGAACTCCAGATGTTCTTGTTATATGGATAAAATTTTATTGATATTTTTCAGTGGTTACAATTTAGAGTACCTATGCAATGTTCGAATTCTGAAAATTCACAATATGGCCTCTTGAGCTGTGTAAGTTGTAACAAAAAGCATTTCAATTCTTTCATATTAGCATTTCTTATGCAATCATCATTCTATCCCAGCCTTCAGATACGAGAAAAGAATATTTACAATTATCGTAAGTTAATAAAGGGATGACAGCTGATGATTCAAGCATATTGTTCTGCAGGCTTGGAAGCTGGACTCAAATAAAAAAGGGATTTGGATCATATAATGAAGTGATTAAGTGCATCCAAATTGGTTTTGTTGGGTTTAAGAAAATCCAGGTGCACAGCCTTGCTATATAAGCTAGTGGGGACTTTCGGGTTGGTTTCTTAGAGACTAGCTCGTAGGGGGCCTTGTTTTCTTTCTGGAAAACGATGATATATAACCATTCAACGCATAATTGAGAAAGTAGGCAAAAGGACATTAAATATACAGGTGTCGTAAATGACTTGTGATCGAGTGGGAACTTCCCCACCATTGGGCCCCTATTCCCGTCAAAGCTAACAAAATATGGTTTTTTGAAAGTTCTTCATCTTATCGTCAAGGGACGTCGGGACACCAATGCAAGACAAAATCCTTTTCTTTTTTTCTTGTTTCAAATTTGGATGGATGTAACAATTACTTTTGTTAGGAGGGATAAATGGAAAATATAAATGTGAGACTGAAAAACTAAAATACCTTCCTAACCTTAATTTTAAGGGGAAAAATAACTTTTAATCTCTAAATAAAGAAACTTTCTCTCAATTGTTGATTAAGTCTATGGACTTTGATTCGAAACAGCTCTTGATTTTTGTAGTTTATTAAGTGGCAGAATTATAAAGATTTGAGTTCTTTAGAATTAAAAAAATAAAAGGACTAAATTTTTTTGTTATAAAAATGTGATATTTCAGTCATTCCTAATTTTTTTCTCCAAAAAATTGTGAAGTTTAGGTACCAAACTTGATTTTGGTTAGGAAATTTGAAAGTGGGAGTTAAAAATTTTGGATGGGAGACTTCTAAATACTTTGAACACAATTTAAAGATCTCTTTTTGTATTTAAAATTCTTTTACTCTATGATTTGCATTGCAACTGTCGTGGCAATTAATGAAAAAAGTTGAAAATAAATTTGAAACGAAATGCCAAGTGGAGGGACTTGTCAACAGTACTGACATGTGGGCCTAAGGACTCTTAACTCTCAATGCAAAGTTCACATTCTATGCGTTTCCTAGAAAGAAAATGGAGATGAAAAAAATGTTAATGAGTTTAATTTTAAAAAATTGAGAAAAAATGTGATTATAAAATTTTAATAAAAAAGATATAATATAAAAGAGTAAAAAATAATTAAAAATTTTTAATCTCACTTCTTTAATTTTTTAATTTAAACTCATTTAAATTTTTCTCCTCCTCCTTTTTTTTTTTTTCAATTTTCTTGTACCAAACAGATTTTTTTTAAAATTGACCAAACAATAAATTTAAGCAAATTTAAATAACATGACTTTTCTGAAAATCCTGGCCGTGATAGTTTAGTCTCAAAATAGCATTTTTAGAGTGAGGTCCAAAAAATTTATAAGTTGTGAATAACGAATAGAAGTTGCAAACCAATATCAATTGCTCTTAGTTGCAAATCATTGAAAATAATATACAAAATTTAAATGTCTCGCTTCAAAGTTCAAACTGAGATTCTCGCGTACTTACATGTATTTAATTTAATTTGATATTTGCTACTCATTTTCTTAGTTTTGTTCTTAAATTTAACTACCATTAAATAGATTTTCTGGGCCTAACTATAATTCTCTTAAGAAAATCTGTAATTGACGGAGTATTTTATATTTTTTGGGTTAATTTGTCTGCCTTATAAATTGATATGTCATCTAATGATACACAACTAAAATTGGAGGTAGAATATCACTATATTGTGCGCCTGATTATATTCCTCAAAATAAATGTTTTGAGTTGAGCGCGTCGACCATTGGGTGCGCTTATCACAAATGTGCTCATCAATGGCCGCCATGACTTCTAACAGATCACGCTTGCAGGGCCGTATGTTTGCTTCAAAAAGCCCACAAAATGAGCCCCCAAGCTGCCCAATGACGCATCTTTTCGTACTTGGACGGCAATTGCTTTCTCCAGGAAATTTTCATGTATTATTTCTTCTGATTTTAAATATAAGAGCTAGTTATTTACAGTGAAATTCAAAGTGCAAATTATATCTTATACTTAGGACCAAAGTTAGTATTGGGTTTTGTGTTGAGGCTTGGCAACTAATAGTGGAACCTCATTCTTGAATTTTAATAAACCCTGATGAGAATTTTTTTCCGACAATTATTTTAACTGGTTAGCATCTCGGGGGAGAATGCCCTGAAATCATGAATAGTCAGATAATGAGGGTGTGGGAAATACATACAATGATATATACAAATACAAACATTGATTTGATCACATAAAATGACAAATTAAATCGTCTTTTTCATTCATGGAATTAGTTTCCATATAACTTATTCTATTAACATGTGGTTAGAGTTTGCATTTTCCCTACAATACGCAATTGTTAGGACTCACTTTCTTTTCAAAATATTTGTACAGCACACATTCTCAAACAAGTGGCTAAAGGCTCATTACAAGAAAAAAGCACAGAATCAGACGATAATGACTAATTAATAAGTACGCACAGCTGGTTTCTTTTCGGCCAAAACAAAAAGTACGCACAGCTGAAGCAATTTTGAGTGATCTATTATTTGTCCAATGTGGCTAGTGGGTGATTAGCTTTCTAGTCTCAAGTTGGAAGTATAAGACCAACGCGCATATTAGTGCCCCTTTGTGTTTTCTTGAAAATGACCATACGGAATCAAGACATGATTGAGAAAGTAGGCAAGAGGACATTCATATGTGGGTGTTGTTAGTGACATGTGAGCTGGAAGCTTCCCCACCACTGGACCACTGGTTCTGTCAAAGCTGAAAAAAATATCTGCAGCCTCAAGGTCAGTTAGTTATACATTAATTGGCTTGCATGCAGTTACCTGGAGTCCATTTTGATGGCTGAAGAGTGAATAATGTTATGGTAACTGCATGATATACATTACTATGTACCGCACCTCCTACCTCCTGTGTTTAATATAAAAATTTTATTTAACTTTTATTTTTGTCTTAAATATATGATCCCAGTCTATTTTATTTATTATATTTATTTATTTTTTCTCAAATTAGTCCTTATAATAATAATAGTTCTAACTAATATACTTAAGTAACAAGAATTTTTAAGAAATACAATACTTATTTATTACAAATAACTAATTCAATTAATTTTTTTAATCTATTCAAATTAGTCAATTAGACCAGAAGCATTGCTTGGGTTGCATTTGTAAGAATATGTCTCCCCCCGCTTGCGTTTTGATGTATCAAAATGCAAAATTACCCCTATTACGTTAGAATATATACGTGTTCTATTTAATTGATATTTGAAAGTTCTTCTTGTTTCGAAAGTAGATCAAAACACAAAATCGCCCTTGTTGGATCAGAAGACGTATCCTAATTAATTATTGATATTTGAAAGTTCATCTTATTCTCAAAATATATCAAAACGCAAAATCACCTATTGGATCAGAAGACGAACCCTAGTTTAAAAGTTGAAAAATTCATCTCATCCTCTCAGTAGATTAAAATACAAAATCACTCCTATTAAATCAAAAGACGTAACCTAGTTGTTGATCTTTGAAAGTTATTCATCTTATCTTCAAAGTATGGGCACCAACGTAGGACAAAAACCCCCTTCCTTTTTTCTCCCTTCCTTTTCTGGGATGGATCTAACAATAAAAGTTGATCAAGTAGCTAAGATGAAGCATTTGGGAGCATGTCAAATGTCATTCTGATCCACAAAATAAGTTTTATTTTTCTCATGTTATTTTAGTCCAAAATAACAGTTTAACTCTCCAAAATCCAGAGTATATGATACTCCTATAGAGATATTGATGGGGTAAAGAGTTTCTTTCCTTAATAGAAGCACAGCACTGAATTTATTATACGAATGTATAGTTCTATCTCTATTTTATAATTTTTTAAGAATAGTTAATGAGGTTTGTGATTTTTTTTTCCTGATGAAAAATGTTGAAAGTACTTTATAAATATGATTAAATGAGTTTTTTTCCCCTTGTTTTAGCCTTTTATACAATTAACGACCCAACTTTCATTTAATGTAGCTAATTTTTAGTAGGGGTAGATCTGCAAAGCACCATAATACTTCTATATCTTTAAATGAAGCAATTACCTTTTTTGGCCTTTTCCCTATATGCCTGCCTAAATCCGGGATTATATTGTAGACTGAAGTAGTATAGAGTAAATGTGAGACAAGAAAGTAAAACACCTTCTTAGAGTTATTTTAAATTAGGAAAATCAACGTTACAGGCCATGAATATATAATTAAAAAAATCTCAAAAAAAAATATCTCTTGAATTTTAAAATTTTAAATCAATATTGTTTACTAAATTTCAATAGAAATTGACTGCACTTGAAACATAATTTACAACACATTTTTATACTAATTATTAATTTGAAATTTTAAAATTTTA